GCTTCCCAGGTTGGGGGTATTGCCCCAAAATACAATAATTACATTTGAAAAGAACTGGAATCACAGCCCTTGTCAACGTGTGTCCTTGACTATAATGGGTGTAGGGGTGTAGAGAAGACAAAAATAGACAAGAAAACTAGGGCAGTGTGTTAACCTCACCGACAGTGCTGCTAATATTCAATCTGTAACCTAAGTGTACAGCACTAAACTCCCTTGAAGTAGGTTCTAGAAAGAAGGGGGCGGGAGACAGGAACTGCGTGTCTCCTCAGCTGGACTCAGTGGGGTTTGTAGGGAGGACTAGATGGGATCCCGGGAGAAAGCCCGAGATGGGAGTTGTCTGCAAATCCAGACACACTAGGGCTTGGGGGTCTCCAGCGGGGGCTGTCCGCTCACTGGAACCCCGCAGGAAGACCTCGCCCTGGGGATCCTATCTGGGTCACTGGCTACAATGTGTTGCGGGGAAGTTGGTCATCTACAGCTGGGAAAGTGAACCTCACAGGCCTCAGATCTACCAGCACCTTGACCTTGGAGTTTCCAGCTTCCATAACTGTGAAAAATAAATTTCTGTTGTTTATCAGCCACCCAGCTTAGGGTATTTTGTTACAGCAGCCCACGTGGACTATGACAGGGAGAAGGGATGAGAATATAAGCAGCCACCAGTCAGAAGGGATGGCGGAAGCACAGTGAGCAGGGCTGCCAGCCAGGGCTCCTATGATGCTGACATAAAAGAGGTAATGAAGATGCGTGTGGCTTGGAGACGACACAGGCAAGGTGTGCTGCTGGCCAAAATGCGGGGCATTTCGGAAAGCAAGAAAATGAGAATGAGTGCTGTTTTCAGCTTGAGCGCTTAGGTGAATGACAGCTGGTTGACTCTGCTGAGCCTGGGTAGGTGGGGAAGGTGATGAGAACAGAGAGGGGGTATGTGTTGTGTTAAGGCAAGTAGGGACCTAGTGGGGTGAACTAAGTTGGCCTGGGGATCAGAGAAGGAAAAGATAATTTTAAGGAAGCACCTAAAGGTCACTTAAAAATCATAAGCTATTCCTACTTGTTTGAATGCTCCTTCATGGCTGCTCTTGCCAGCCCTACTCATCCTTCAAAACCCAGCTCAGGCATCCCCTTCCCTGGGAAACTTCTCTGACAGCTAGTACGGTCAACAAGCAACTTTGCTCCAGGTGTTATGAGGGATGTTGAAGATGCGAAGACAGTAGACATTGGTCCATCCTCAAGAAAACTGTTGGGCCTCCCCGGTGGTGCAGCGGTTGAGCGCTGGGTTGCGAAGCTGCCCGCAGCCTCTGCAGCGCCAGTTCGATCCCCGGCTGCTCCCCGGCCACCGGAGGAGGGTCCCACATGGCGCGCAGACCTCTCCTGCCGCCTGCTGCTCCCCTCAGCAGTGTGCTTCGGTCCTTCTGCCTGCTCTGCTCCCTGCTCTGGCTCTGGTGAATTCTCTCACCCTCCCGCGCTTCTAACTGTACCCAGTGCTTGTATAAATTAATAAATAAATCTTAAAAAAAAAAAAGAATTTATCTCCATTAAAAAAAAAAAAGAAAGAAAAGAAAGCTGCTATCTAGGGCGAGAAGTTATCCATTTAACAAACACCCACAATGCCTGCAGAGACAGCAGTGTGCACAGGTTATGGCACATAATACTCTGCCCGGCTGCTGGAAAAAAATACTGCAGATGTGTGGCTTAACTAACAGGAGCTTATTTCTGTTAGTTAAGATCCGTGATTGCAATATCAAACTTTTGAAGAGATAGCAATCGTTGTCTGTTTGCAGATGTTTTATCATGTGAGAAAAACAAGCCTCTATTCACTAGGGACTTATTTCCCACATATTAGTTAGATTTTATGTTGCTATTGGCAAAAGCATACCAATTGATACATATGTCATACTAAAGGTTCACGTTTTATTTTGAGGGTAATGTTTTTAAACAGGGTGTGGTGAGAGTAGGGAGAGGGTAGAAGAACATCAAATCTGTGTTAAGAAAAATCACCCTGGAAGCTTTGTAGAAGACAAAATATAAAGGGGTGAGCTAAAAGAGGCAGTTGGTCGGCTGTTAAAATAGTCAAGTTAATGAAACAGCAAGTAGGGAAAGGAAAGTTAGATATTAAGGAGAGAGAATTGATAGGACTCCACCACAGACTTGATAGACATGAGGGATGAGGGAGAAGAAAGAGCAAGATGGCGCTTAGATTTCCCCTAGATGAATGGAGGATCAGAGTAACATTCCCCGGGGGAACAGGGGAGAAAGGGCAGAGGAGAGCAGAGGAGATGAAAATAATTCATTATTTTCAGATAGATCGAATTTATAATGTAACCAGAATTAATTAAGCCTCGTTGTATCTAAAATTTCCCTTAATCATGGAAATAATCATGCTTTGTTTGCTTGTCTGAATCCACAACCAAATCTTGAGCTTCTTCAGGGCACAGGATAAAAATAATGAGAGAGAGAGAGAGATTTTAATATATGTCAGGCACTATTTCAAGCCCTTTGTTAAGATAAGAAAACCAAGGCATGAAGGGATAAGTAACTATCCTAACATCAGATTGCTCAAAAGTAGTGTTCTGCTGAGGTGCTGGATTCAAGCCCAGGCTGTTGGGTGCCACAATCTGTGAGCTTCACCACAGTGCTCATATGCCTCTCAGAGATGCTTCCCATTCTGGAAAATTCTATAATGTGGACTTTTATTCTTTTGTTTATTCATTAGTTATTAAGTGCCTATTATTTGCAAACACTCTATCATTTGGACTTTAAGGCAAGGAATATTGCTATATATCGGAAGGGATATTTTGTAATGATAAAAACAGTCAATCCACTAGGAAAAAAGTATTTTTTTACCAATTTACATGTTTATGCATAAAATAACATCACCTCAAATATATCAAGCAAGATGTGAGCACTTTCAGAGAACATACATACAGAACTGCAATCAGAATGGGATATTTTCACATATTTTTCTCTGTAATTGATAGACAATACTATCAAAAAATTGCTACAGAAATGAAAGCTTTTAATATTTGTGGAAACTTACTGACTTTCATAGAAGAATGCATCCAACAAGTGTAAAATATATATATTTGGACAGATACCCATATAAAAATTGCCAAATTTGATTGTATGTTCTACCATAAAATAAATCTCAACAAATTTAAAATTACTTACATCTAAATATGCTCTTTGACTATAGTGAAATTAAGCAAGAGCCAAACAACAAAAACTAACTGGAAAAATTCCTGATTTTTTTAAGTTTTACGCTTTCAAGTAACTTATGAGTCAAAGAACAGATTAAAATGAAAATTAAAACTAAACCAAGTGGTAACAAAAATGCAAGATATTAAAACTTGTAGGATGTGACTCCAACCACCAAAGCTTCAAAACAAGACCTGATAAAAACATTACAATTAGAGATCAACATGTATCATGCACAGAAAGGAAAGAAATGCTAAATAAAATCTTAACAAAAATAAATCCAGCAACACATAAAAAGGGTAATACATTATGACCACATTGTGCTTATTTCAGGAACATAAGGTGAACCTAATAATGTATATGATCAATGGACATGAGCTCCTATATTTAATAGAATAGCACAGGAAACATATGAACATTAATGACGCAAAGTTTTGATAAAATTCATCAATAAAAACTCTAAGTAAACAACTAGAAGGAAATATGTTTAATTAAGAACCTCTACCAAAAACCTTCAGAAAACATCTTACTTAAAGGTAATATATTGAAAGTAATAATGCAAGATAAAAAAATATAAGATGTCAGGATCGGAAAGAAGGAAAAAAATCATTATTTGCACATAACATCATTGTGTGTCTAAAAATAAAGAATAAAGATATTAGAATTTGTAAGTACACTTAGCAAAGTCACTAGATAATAACTTAATATAAAAATCAAATTTATTTTTATATACTGACAACAAATTACTAGTAAATTAAATTTTAAGAGATATGGTAAATTTAAATTTTTTATGGCAGCATAAAATACATCAAACAATTAGGAATAATATTTGGAGAAAGAGAGAAACAGACTGGGAGAGTACAGATCCTCTGTAGAGAAGTCCATTGATTAAAGCATTTTAAACACTTAAAAAGTAGAGGAATATATCATGTTCATAGACTGAAAAAATGTTGCTATGATTAATTTTCCACAAGTTAACCACTGTAATTTTAATCAATATCCCAGGAGGATCACTATGAAAAAAAATGACAAGCTAGTTTAAATATTGTTAATGGAAACATAGGGTCAAGAAAAGTCAAGATGATCTTGAAGAACAAAGCTAGAGGATTTATGTGTTAGTCAAGACATATTATGAAGCTCCAGTAATTAAGATAGTGTAGTATTGACATAAAGACAGACAAATCAGTCAATGGAATGGTCTAGTGTCCAGGAATGAGCAACACATAATGGACACTTGACAAGAGAATGACAAGGCAGTGCAATAGGGAAAAAATGGTCTTTCAATAAATGGTACTGGGTCGATTAGATATCCATATGAACCTGGACCATTACCTCATAGAACACAAAACAATCAATCCCAGCTTGATTGCAGATCTAAATAAGAAAAGGAGAACTATAAAGCTTTTAAAAGAAAACACAGGAGGATATCTTCATGTGGGCCAAGATTTCTTAAACTAGACATAAAAGGCATCAATCTACGATTGACAAACTGAGCTACATTCAAATTTAAAATGTTTTTTCGTCCAAAGACACAATTAAGAGAGTGAAAAGACAAGACAAAGAATGGAAAAGATAACCAACAAAGAACTCATCTCAGAGTATATCATATGTACCAATAAACAAAAAAAGAACAACACCCTATTCCTTTTAATGGGTAAATGACTTGAGCAGTAGTTTAGAAAAGGTCAATAAACATGAAAAGGTATTCACTCTCATTAATCTCATTATCATTAGGGAGATACAAATTAAAACCGTGACACTGAATGACTGTCATTGAAAAGACTGAAATGCCAAATGTTGAGTCACTTGCCTCATGGTGTCCACAGAGGCCCCTCAAAGACAAGTTCCAGTGATGGGCAGGAGACCGCAGCGGTGTCCTCACTTCATCTCGCTGTCAGCATATCAGGATGTAGCTGGCGAACTGGATTTGAGCATTTCATTGTCTAGTTTTAGTCAACCTAATCATCACAAAATGGAAAAATGGCTGAAAATATTCCTACAGAGAAACTGTGGCTTGAGCGAAATAAAAGAGAAAAACAAAAAACTGTCAGAGTTGGCACTTTACTCCTTCTGTGAATTCTTAAACCCATCACGAGAGAGAATTGATGGAATTTGTCAAATCTCCCTCAAAAACATTTTTAAAGTTTTAGAATGTATAATTATAAATTCATATTGATACTGAACATTTTCCACAAGTTAACCACTGTCTAAAAATGCCCCTCAAGAGAGAGGATACATCCGACTAGGGAAACATGTTTAGTTCATTCTCACTTTCTTTTTTATTTCTATGCTATAGATTTTCTAATATACACAGTATGTTAATATAGTGGCAGCCATGTATATGAATTCAGATACCCCTATTTTCAGTGTGCATGTCAAAACAATTTTATTGATAGATGCACAGCAAGAATGTTCTAGAGACTCTGCAAACGGCAAGACTTGGAGCTAGTCACTAATTCTCTCTGGGATTACATTTGATTACCTATAAAATAAGAAACATTGAATGTTTCTTCCAAGCTTCAGTTTTCTTAGGTCCTTTTCTATTCTTCTGTTCTATGAATCTATCCTGTTATATCTGAAAAGTAATTTCCAAAAAATCTATAAAAAATGCAAGTTAGAAATCACAAGGAAAATGAACAATAAGTGTCAACTATGAACTAAGCCCTGGGCTAGGGGCTTTGTGTACGTATGTAACTAATGCAATCACAGCAGGCCCATGAGGGAGATGTTATTGTTCTCATTTCCAGAAAAGGGAACAGAGTTGGGTATGGAAATCAGTGTCAGTTGAGGAAAGAAATGGCAGAGGTCCCACTGTAGAGTCAGGAGTTTAAAACTAAGATCTGGCCCATTACAAGTCCCTTCCTACTCCATCACATTACCATTCTGATGCAGAACATGGCATTTATGTTTGCTTTTTATATAACTTTTATGTCTATTTATATGAAATTCTCTGTTTTATTTTCCCTTGGAGCTGCCAGGGATCTTGCCAATTATCATCATTAATGTCTAGATTCCTGGTGTCTAGTACAGTGCCAGGTACATGGTGACATTCCATAAATACTTGGGGGGAAACAATGAATCAATCAATCAATCGTTAGAACATATTCCTTGCCAACTAAAAATGTCCCATTTTTGTGAACAAAGGAACTCTCCTACTCTGAATTTTGATTTTGCCATAAAAAAGTAAATTCAATATGAGCCTTCCTTCAGATCTATATTGCACTGAATACAGAACCAAAGCATGCATTTAAATCACTTATATCTAACTTTTTATGATGCCATTGGGAATGGTGTTCTTTTTGCATTTGCAGTTAAAGGGTAGAACAGATGGTGGAAGTTTAGTTTCAAGTGATGGGCCCATTAAAATAACTTATGCTGTTGAGTGATTGTTCATCCTAATGGCTCCATTCATTATATCTGAGTTTGCAAACTCTGTAATACTTGCAAAGGAAGTAGGACTTCGGGAAATATTTGCTCCATCAAGAGATTTGCTGGGTTAGGACTACAGACCCACAAACCCTATCTTTGAAAGGAAAAACTTGCTGGAAGCTTCATTAAATAGGAAATTCATTTCATGGAGAACATCCAGGGAAGAATCTTTCTAGAAAGAGATGTGGGGTTAGGAAAGAGGCTCAAGGGAACAAGTGACAGTCTCCCTAAGACTACTTCTTTTTCCCTACTTATCTGTCTTTTATGAGAATCAGCTTGAGTAAAAAAAAAAAATCTTATCGTTACAAAAATAACTATAAAGACAAAATGAAAAAGGAGAAACCACAAATGTAGAATCAGGGTCTGTAGAAGAGGAAGAGTGAAAACCAGCTGCAAGAGTTCATTCACCTCACCACCAGGCTAATAGCCAGGAAGGTCATGTCAGGAGCTGAGTGCCACCAAGTCCTCTCTACCTATGAATTACCCTATGTTCACCTTAATTCAATTTCCAAAGGTCAAGTGGAATGCACACCTGGACTGGAGATCAGGACACCTGGGTTCAGTTATTAATGACAGGAAGCCCACAACTATTGAGCACTATGCTGGGGGCATCGAAGATGCATTGGCTCATTGGCTCATCTCAAAAACTCTGCCACATCATTAATGTCATCCTCACATTGCAATTGACGAAGCCAAGTATGCCCAAGTCACCAGGCCACGAGTGGTGCCTCTAAGGATTCACTATTTCTCACTCTCAGTTCTGTCACCATCCACACTGAAATTTCTCTTAGATAAAATGACTGTCTGGAAAATAAGAACAGGTACAGCTATAACATTCCATGATCATCCAGGAAATTATAAAACTGAAAAATTTTTATATTACTTTATCACCAAATACTCAAATCTCATTCCATAAATATTAACTGAGCTGTGATAAAGACTTTGCTCTAACTATGAAGGACCTGGTTACAGAGCAGCTATGACCACTACTCCCAGAGCAAAGAGTGTATTCTTGAGTATATCCAAGGTGGGTAAGTTCAAGAGATTATGAAAGAACAATTTACAGAGGTGAGCAACAAGGCCAGTCAGGTGACCAGGACCCTGGAGAACATGGGAATGGTTTAGCCTGAAATCTGAAGATACACAAAATCACAAAATAAATCTATATTTACTAGCATGATGTAAAAAAATGAAAAGAAACATTTCCTTTGGTACATAAGGGTATATTCAAGTGCTAGAAGGATATCAGGAGTAACTCTCACCAAAAGGTTAAGTAAGAAAAAGAAAAATACCAGATGGTCTCACTCATAGCAAGAATCTAGAAAACTTAAATAAGGGGCCAGGAAAAAGAATAACTATAAGAAAGTAAAAATCAAAATCAACAGACAACTATGAACCAGAGACACTCTATGGGGGTTGGGGGGTGGGGAGGGGAGGGATTGGGGTCAAAATAAGGGGGTTGCAATTGTATGGGGAATATAAAAATTAAAAAAATTATAATTAAAAAAAAAAGGTGAAGTCCAAACACCTCAACAGAATTGTGAGGACCGAGTGTGGTATTTCAAGGGCTTTATTTGTAAATGATGAATGTCCTCAAAAAGATACATTCATGCATTCATTGGATAAATAACAGGACATTTATATGGGTGTTTTTTTTTTTTTATCCTTGAAATGGTGGACGAAATGCCCCAAACACAAATCTCAGCACAGGAAGAGGAAGGATCCAAAGAAAGGAATAGAAGGCGTCACATAGGGAGGAGAGAATTTTGACTGCATCCAGAAGGGTCAGGCGTGTGGGTGCTGCTGCAGGATGGCAAGTAATGTGAAGCCTAAGGAACTGCTTATCGGGTTGATGATGGAGATGCCAGAGGGGGCAGATCATGGTGTCCGGATCTTAGACAGACTGAGAGGGAAAGAGAGCTGTGGCAGTCACAGCGAGTAGAGGGAGGCCTTTCCAAGATGGCAGAAGCATGGGGATATTTAGCTCCCAACCAGAAGGAGATGGAAGAAAATGGAAGACGAAGAGGGGGAGAAAATTTAAGAAGCCATCAAGCACGGTGACAGAGGAGTGCGAAGGGAGGCGACCAGCTGCACGGGCGGAGGACTGATCCTGGCAATCCAAGAGTCTACGTTTCAAAGAGCAAATATGATCACATCCCACATCCCTGGGTTGCTTCCCTTTCCCTCAGGACAATATTTCAACCACACCTCCCCAGATGAGCTCCACCAAGACAGTCCTCAGACTTGCTAACCACAACGAGCTTCTTGCAGTTTTCTAAAGATGTTTACCTTTTTCCTTAACCTTCAGCCGACACCTGGCCCTTCTCAGAGGCCTCATCTTCCTCCATTTCTCCGTACTTAAACCCCTGTCCATTTTCCTGACCTCCCTGGAGACCTCACTTCTTCCATCAAGTCTTCTTTGGCTTCCAAATCTGAGGAGCTGCAGTCCAGTATCCAGCATCTCTGCTTCCCCATCAAAACCTTATTGCGCCTTCTCATAAAAAGTTTCCTGTGTGTCTCCTACCGTTAGATCTGTAGCATCGTGACACAGATGCTGTGTCTTATTCAGCCATTGGGTTCCCAGCACCTCATACCATGCCTGGGACACAGCACAAATTTAAAAATACTTAGTGAGGGGCCTCCCTGGTTGCACAGGGGTTAAAGTCAGCACTATCAAGCTATCAGCAGCCACTGCAGCCTTCATTCAATCCCCCGGCCAGGGAGCTGACTCACATGGCGCAGCAGACCTCTCCTGTCTCGCCCACTGCTCCCCTCAGCAGTGTATTTCAGGAGATCTGCCTGTTCTGCTCCCCACTCTGTCTCTGGTGAGTTCTCTCACCTCTCTGCATCTCTGGCCTACACCCCAGTTCTTGTGTGCATAAATAAATAAATAAAATTTTAAATAAACAAATAAAAACACTTAGTATTATTGAAAACCAGACCACCACATCTGAGCCTTCCCCGCCAGACTGTTTTATATGCAACACAAAGGGTTAAAACCATGGCATGCTCATATTTGGAAAAGGGATTTATTCCTGACAAGCTAATGAGCCAGCCACTTAGCGTCATTTCTCAGCCAGCATTTATCCCGACGGCCTGAGCAGAGTCCATTTTGATGAACGATGTGCCAGGTTTCTTAACATCAGTGCCAAATTATTTCTTAATTAACTCACAGGTACTGTCAATAGGAAAGTCCAGTATTGATTATAAATGAGAATTAGGAGAGGAAAATGGCCTCTTCCAGGAATTTTAAAATATGCTGTAGCTATTACATCATCAAGGTAAGCCTGAGCACGGCTTACGCCAGGTCTACCCTGCAGCTAGTTTTATCTGTGGGTTTCATCATTTTTATCTCTAGAATTTTGACTTCAGTCTTTTTAAATTCTCTTTTATGTCTCTGTTTACCATGTTCAGATTTTTCCCTGGCTGCTTAAATACATGGAATGCAACGATACTGACTTGTAATGTCTGGTCTACTAATTCAATCACCTGTGTTATTTCTATATTCATTACATTCATTTTAATTGATGTTTCTCCTTATTATGGGACAAATGTCTTACTTCTTTACATACCTGTTGATTCAGGGTTGCATGAGTTTTCCCCACTATTGAGGAAAGCTATTCACAAATGCCTTGTGAGCCATGAGGTGAGCCATGAGGTCTTGTGAGCTGGAACAGGTGTCATTCCCAGCCCTGTAAAAATTCTGGATGCTTCTCCCTGTGAGCCTTGTGGGTGGTTCTTCCCTGGTCTTGAGTCATCGCCTCAAGCACGCATGGTTGGCTCCTCCACCCCTGCTGGGTGCTCCCGCATGACTCTCCTCTGCCCCCGGAGCTGTGGTCTGGGACTTGCTTCACCCAATCTGTCAGATTCCCTGTGCTCTGAGTCCAGCATTTTCCTGTTCTGTAGCTTAACTCTCCCTTCGGCTGGAAGACACCTTCCAAGAGCTCCATCACCCCGGGTGTACGGGAGAGAAACACTTTCAATCCCTCCCTGTCTGAAAATGCCTTTAGTTGACACTCGCGCGTGACTGAAGAGGACTTCGTGGAGTATTTGCTGAAAATAATTTCCCTTCAGAGTATCAAACATGGCGATCTTTGTCTCCCAGCATCGCTGTTGTATTTCCTCCTGCCACGGTGAAGCGATTGCTTTGAACTGACTTGCTTTTTCATTTAAAAACTTTGATTCTTCTCATTTTCACTGGTCACACACTCCGTGCTGATGTGCCTGGCAGGGGTCTGTGCGCCCTCACCCTGGCGGGGAGGCACATCCTTCTCAGGAGTAAAGTCACTCTGAGAATTTTCTGTACTATTTCTTTGATAACTTCCTTCTGATTTTTCTTCCCTCGTTCTTTCTGAAATTCCCATTAGCTGAATATTAGGTTCCCTCGACTGGCTCTCTAATTTTTATTATCTCTTCTACCCTAATGTTCCTCTTTTTGATTTTAGCTGCACTCTAGGAAAGATTTTCTTGACATTTCTACCAATCACTCCAATCTAATTTTCCATTTCAGTTATTATATTTTGAAAGTGGAGGAATTCTTGCTTTCTTCTGGCTTCTCTGTTATGCCATGTTCTTACTGTACATCCAATGTCTTACCTTATATCCTTCACGATATCAGTAATAAAATTTTAAAATATTCTTTGTTCTCCCTATTATCTTTATTTCTCCAGTTCAAATTTTCCAAATATTAATGGATACTTCCTGTTTGAGAATGAGGCACTAAAACATGAGCGATACTCTGTGTGGGTGCTTCTCACCCACGTCAATTGGAAGCAGCCCAGGTTTCCCAGTGGGGATACCCCTACATGGTCAGGGTGTCAACCTCTGCAGCAGTTTTCTCTTGAGCAGTTCAATTTCTCCACATTCTCCAAAGGACCTCCCGAGCCTCCCCAGTGTGGTCGGAAGAGGAAGGACTAGCCCTAAACGATGAAGTTCTAAAAGTGAGTCAGGGAGCAGGAGCAAGGGCCAGGTAGCAGGGTCTCCTGCTCAAGCTATAGATTTTCATTTAAAGCCTCTGCTCCCTACCAGATCCTCTCTCTTCTAATCCACCGTAGTTCGCATCCTTGAGGTCTGCAGCTAAACCCCTGATTCCAAGAAGAGGGGCAGAAGGGCTGTCGCCGGGCAGTGAGAGGTGGGGTGTGTGCGGACTTACCCCTGTGTCAGATTTTCTATCAATTCTTGTTTTCCATCTTGGCCCTCATCTCTGTTCATGTTCATGTTTAATTCACAGTGCTCCTGTGTTCCAGAATGTTCTTGGGCTCTGAGGGAAAGCATACTCATCCTCTTTTCCAAGCACACAGGCTGCTGCTTCCTCTTCTCTGTCCTCTGACCTCCTCCTCCTCCATGCACTCTGACCAGACATTGTTATAGCTCATGTACTATTTTCTCCATTCTCTCACCTCTCTTTTTTATTCCTTTACTTTCATTTTAGTAGAGTTCCAAAGGGGAGCTGATGTTCACATAAGAATTTAATACTATAAGGGGCCTCCCCTGGTGGCACAGGGGTTGAGTGCTGGGTTGTGAGGCTGCCCGCAGCCTCTGCAGCACCAGTTCGATCCCTGGCCACCAGCGAGGGTCCCACAAAAAAAAAAAAAGAATTTAATACTATATATCCTACACAAACTATGTGCACAATCCCACTTGAGTCTCACAATTATTCCCTGAAATAAGCAATAATTATTCTCATTACAGAAACAGTGAAGCCGAGACTCAAAAATGCTAGGCAATTTTCTTAGGTCCAATTTTCTTAGGTCCAATTTTCTTAGGCAATTTTCTTAGGTCCACTCCCATTGTTGGCAGTGTCAAGATTTGCAGCCAGTTCTGACTCCAAAGACTTAACCACACATGATACTGTTCTGATTAGAAGGCTAGATACAAGAACATACTAGTCTGGCATCTGGGTCCCCAGAGTCCTTACCCAAAAGTCAGCACTGGGATCCCCAAAGCCTTTGGTTTTCACATGCATATCATCCTGAGATATTCAAAGCACTCAACGTTGGCCTAAAACACCCTGCATTTCTGGAGCACACAATCACTTGGGCACACTCCCCTGCCTTTTCCACCTTTGTGTTGCATTTCTTTCAGTAAGGACTTAACCTTGGACCACACCAGTGTCGGGCACTGGGTTGAGTGATATTTCAGTGAAGCAATGGTCCTTGGAGCAGTTACATGTGGTCAGGGAGAGAGACCCCTGAGGGAACACCAAGCAGAACAGGACACGTGGGGGTAATGTGCCCTTAAGGAGAAGAATCCATGTACTCTGTGACTTCCGGTCAGATCTCAGAGAAGAGGCAATGATTAAGTTGACACCTGCATAGCTCATCATTCATTCCTTTAGCATACACTGACTGAGCATCTATCATAAAAAGGATAATCCAAACTTATAAGGGAACGTCCAAGTCCTTGCACTGTCTTAGGCGCTTGATGTGTGTTAACTCTTTTAACCCTCACAAGCCTATGAGGAGGACTTTTGCTATTTTCCCCATTTTACAAAAGATAGAAAGAGAGGCACAGAAGTAGCTTTTTCAACTTGGCACATCTGGTACGTTTCAGAGCTAAGAGATTGCACCTGTTTGGTGCCACCAGTCGTGGCACCTTGGGGCTCTGTGCCAGGAGGCAGGGAGGAGATGGAGGAAAACAGGCCAGATGAGGTCCTGCCCTCGTGAAGGTTAACGTTCCAGTGAGAACGAAATGAAGTCGCTTATCAGTAAATATTGTAAATACAGGAAATGAGCTTTTGTGAGGAGCCTCCATGTGGAGAGAGCACAGGGCACACAAGCTCCCAGCACTCAGGCTGCCCCAGATGAGCCTGGACAGGCTATGGCAGGTGCTATAGAGAGGAAGTAGACCTACTGTGCGAACTGCCTGCTCAGCCTCTGAAAGTGGGCAGAAAATGAGATATCAAGGTGGTCTAGAGTTTTCTTTTCACCAATCTTACAAAGGGAGCATGGAGTGGGAGGGACAAGTGTTTCAGGCAAAGGAACCACATCTGTGAGAATGTGAGGGGCTCAGGACGTAGGGCATCAAGGCCGGATACCCTGGGACTTCACACACATGGACCTCAAGGCTCTGGGTTCCCAGATGAGGTTGGGTGGGGGAAATCACTGATGAACCCAGTGGTCACTGGTGAACAAACATACACAACCTGAACAAAGGCCATTGATGGCACTGTGGCAACTGAGAGGGAGAATAGAAAGAGGCGGGTTTGGGGTACAAAGCATGTGCCATGTGGTGTAGAACTAGTGAGGTCAAGAACCTTAGTCTTCAAATGACTGATGATCTGACCTCAGTTTTAAGAGATGATCCCAGCGCTGGTAGGAGACTGGGAAGCAGCAAGAAACCAAGGAGGATGAAAAGACTTGCCTGGAGGGGAGGAGAGATGAGTTCAGACCAGAGACATATTTAGTTGACAGCAGTTTGCTGACAGACTGAATAAGGAAGCAGAGAGAAGAGGAGGCATGAGGGATGACCCTAGGTTTCTGGCTTGGGTGGATGAGGAAGGGCGATGCCATCTGCAGAGGGACAGTCAGGAGGAAGGTAGACCGGGACTTAGGGGATGCCAATCCAGAGCATCACTGGGACAGACACAGCCTCCTCTGTCCAGAAGGCCTGAGTCCCGGGTCAGCCCGCGACCTTGGTGCAGAGTCACACCAGCCAAACTGAGTCTCTTCATCCCTCATGGACTGGAACCCAGTGAATTTGAAGTGAATGACCCAGGTCCTCTGGGTCACAGAGCAACCATCCATCCTAAAGTCTGACCATTTCCTTCTTGTGTCTAATGCCATTTCAGGGACACCCCGCATTTCCGCTCAGATCTGCCGTTTCATCCAGCTGGATTTCTTTTCAATTCAACCCAATTTTAACCCCAATGTTCACATTATTTTTTCCCATTATGCCCATAAATGGAAGCAAATCACACTATCTTGTATAAATGCAGCTGTTTTCCTCTCTTCTCTTTTCTCATTTTAGATGAAACTCTTCTCTCTTTTTTTTTTTATTAGCACCACCACCCCCTCCCTGTGCCCTGCTGAGCTCCTCACCATCAGCTGTTTCTGTTCCTCATCTCCCCAGCTCTTTCCTGTTTCTTCAGGGAGCTCCTGCAGAGATGTTTTCTTATATAATCAAATTATAGGTCAAATTCATCAAAGAGATAGCACATGGGTACATTTCTGACAAACATTTGAACTAATGCAGTACGTAACACATTTTTTCTTTGAGTGGAAGCATGGGTAAATGCCGATGCTCTTTGATAACAAAAATAAAATAAGCAACAGAGCTTAAAAGTGTGCCAGAGCGCCTCCTAAGGTGGAAAGCCATGGAAGCACAAGCTGTCACCACCATGTTTTGGAGTCGGTGTAAGTATTATATGTCACCTAGAAAATGTATACATTTGATAGTTAATTTGTTGATCTGAATAAATAAATACCTTTTGTGTGCCTAATAGGAAGTCACACTGGACTAAGATGACCCCTCTATGGCCAAGGGAAAAAGCACATAAATGGAACCTGTGGTGGAGGAAACAGAAAGGCAAGTTAGTGGCGGCAGCTAAGGCAACAGGTGCCTCTTCTACCCCCGCAGCAGGGCTGGCTGAGCGCGTATTTGCCATCAGACACTGTGAATCATGCTTTACATACTGAGTCCCATTTGATCCACATGGCAATAGTGCAAAATGAAATGATGAGATGACCCTCATTTTCTAGAAGAGAAAATTGAGCTGCAACAAGGTGATGCCATTGTTTGGAAGTGACCAAGATAGGAAGTGGTGGGTAGAATTGTTAGGGGAAAAGGATGTCCTGAGCAAATTCTATACAGTCTTTGTGGATGCCACCCCACCCCAGCAAGACACTGGAAACTACAAATCCCATGATACCCAAAGGGAAGTTGCAAGCACCTAAGGGCGGAGTTAAGCAGCCATTTTTTCTGTTTGTAAATAAAAACCAGCCATGTTAGTGGGGTCTTGGAGACTTGGCTCATGCTCTTGGCCAGGAAGGGGGTCATTGGTCATTGGTCATTTGGTCTCCGCGGGTCATTTGGGATTCCAGTTCTGCCCAAAGGGTAGACTTTATCTCCCTCTTTTCTCCCTGAGTTGTATATTTCTTCATTCCCCTTCCCTTGTAAATAAACCTCTTGTGTGTGCCTGCAGTTTAAGTCCCCTTTAAATCTGGGTGAGGACCCACAGTCAGGCAACCCATTTTATATCAGGGTTGCCCTGTAACAGAATGAGAGTTTTCTTTGGTAGCATAGTTGCTTCCTCCTCCTTGCACCCCCGCACCCCACCACCGCTTTTTCCAGCAATATACATGGTGTCACTACTCACTACAGAAGATACAGGAGGGCATGGAAATCAGCCTGGGTAGGGGTAGAGAGGGGCAGATCTTTGAGGAAGGCTTCCCAAAGACAACTGGAAAATGTCTTAGATGTTGAGCAGACATGAGCCAGAAGCATGATTATATGTTGCAGGTTTTTTTCCTAAAAAAAAAATAAACTTTTGCTTTGGGAAATGATTGGTCCGAAGTACGATGTTCACAACATTTACTGGAGGTTTGAACATGCTTTTCTCTTTTACTAAGGAGAAATAACTTAGATTTAAAAATAAGCTTAAAGAAGATGTGAATCTCTTATCTCGGACAAGTGTGTCTATCTATGATTTTTACCCTAACACTGGGACTGGGTGACTTTTGAAAGCTGCCACAGAGGATTACACTTCAGGAGTGAACAAACCCCTTTGGTAGTTGATTTGAAAAATGAAAAGTAAAAAGTGACAATGTTGTGACACCATTTAAGAATGGTAGATGGTTTAGATAAACACAATCTTAAGCCCTGGCTTAGGGCCATATTTAATCATTCGAAAATCTATCCAGGAGGGGCATTCCTGGGGCCTTTAAGTTCAGGGAGGTTAAGACAAGGGATTTTCCACCACGGCAGCATGTCACGTGGCAAGTATGTGTGCAAGAAGTATTCGCTGATTGACTGATGTACCGTAGAGTTTCAAAGAACACAGAAACAAAGAAAACAGCTGCTTCTTGTCCTCAATATGATATTATGAGACTTGTACAGGAGTAACCTTAGCATCTTTCCTGCCTCTCACACACTGATGGAGTGATCTCTGAATCACTTATTGATTATGTGACATAAGAAACCCCATTGGAGAGAGGACACCCCATATGCCCATGTAGCTGGGAATGTGAATCGGTGCAGTCATGATGGAAAGTGATATAGAGATGCCTCAAAAAATTAATAGAAATTCCATACAATTTAGTTATCCCACTTCTGGGTATTTACCCCCAAAATGCAAAATCACTACTCTGGCAAGATGGAAGCACCCCCACACTCTGACAGCACTGTGTACAGCAGCCAAGAACTGGAAACACCCAAAGCTTCACTGGCAGACCCCAGGATCCTGAAGGTGAGACCGTGTGCACGATGGAGCACCACTCAGCTGTTTCAAAAAGGTGAGATTCTGGGCCTCCCCGCTGGCGCAGTCGTTGAGCGCTGGGTTGCGAAGCTGCCCATGGCCTCTGCGGCACCGGTTCAATCCCCAGCTGCTCCCCAGCCACCGGGCAAGAGTCCCACATGGCGCGCAGACCTCTCCTGCCGCCCGCTGCTCCCCTCAGCAGTGTACTTCAGTCCTTCTGCCTGCTCTGCTCCCCGCTCTGGCTCAGTGAATTCTCTCACCCTCCAGCGCTTCTGACTGTACCCAGTGCTTGTATAAATAAATAAATAAATATTAAAAAAAGAAAAAAGCACATTAAATCTTTAAAAAAAAAAAAAGGTGAGATTCTGCCGTTTGCAGCAACATGGATGAATCTCAAAGGAATTATGCCCAGTGAACAGCCAGACAGCAGACAGGAAAGGACAAGCAGGATTTTACTCCTATGTGGTACACAGAGAAAACAGGAGGGTGAACTAAATGAAACAAAATAAACTTTTGGGCTTCAAGACCAGTTAGTGATGACAGGCAGGAAGGTGGAGGAGGGTGGTTAAAGCTGGACCAGGGGGACAGCGCTGAGGTAAGATGCACTGTTACTGCTACCATCACGTAATACAGACTCACGCTGACTTTCAACAATAGCACCTCAAACTTATGTCCATTACACTGAAGGTAACTTCAGTACAAAAGAAACTACTGTCGACTCTTCCAGCAGCGTCTCCACCATGGTCGGTCAATGGGTCCTCCCTGCCGTGTCATTCAGGGTTTCGCTGAAGCGAGAAGGCCGCTGGCCATGCTGACCACACCTCACATGAGCTTAGCTCCCAGGTTCCAGCACCTTCACGTGGCCTCACCGCGGAGACCACGCGGCAAGAGCACAACATCACAGTCTCCCCCACTTCTCACATCTCTGCAGCTGCTGCAGGTGAGCCGTTTCTCTATCAGACCAAAGTACACCTGGAGGGGGGACAATCCTGTGAATAGTACACTTTATTTTTTTAAGTACATCTTGAGCATTTTCTATTTGTCAGGTTTCTTCAATCTTACAAGACCCAACACTGAACAAGATACACACGATCCCAGCCCTGGTAGGGGAGTCAGAAAACACCTGTGCACCAGCATATATGTGGAGAGAGTTACCTGAGGGACAGCAGGGTTGAGGCTGAGTAGTCTGGGAGGACCTCTCCAAGGTGGTAACTTTGAGCTGGGAGCTTTATCATTGGAGACGAAGGAGACATGGGAAGAGCTAGGGAAGGAGTTACACGGGAGCAGGAACCTATGATGACACATCCCTGGCCGGAAAGGGATAGAAAGGAAGAGTCAAGAAGAAGGGGGAGGGGGCCTCCCTGGTGGTGCAGGAGTTAAAGATAGAGCTATCAAGGTATCCGCAGCCACTGCAGCAGGAGTTCCATTCCCGGCCAGGGAGCTACCCACATGGCGCAGCAGACCTCTCCTGCCTCGCCCGCTGCTCCCCTCAGCAGTGGATTTCAGTAGATCTGCTTGTTCTGCTCCCCACTCTGTCTCTGGTGAAACCTCTCGCCTCCCACACCTCTGGCCCGCATCCCAGCTCTTGTATGCATAAATAAACAAATCTTAAAAAAAAAAAAAAGAAGGGAAAGGGGTTTCAAATCTTATATTTTAAAATTTTGACCCCCATTCACTCATCTTAACCCTCCCATTCTACTGACAGGAAAACAAAGACTCAGGAGAAATTAAAGTCATTTTCTAAAGTCACCTAACTTGACTGCAGGTGTAGGGTGACTGGCCAAAGCAGGCTAGTTCACTCTCCCTACACCACAACGCCTCTTCTGTGCTCTCCTGTGACATGCAGCTTCCAAGATATTCAAAATGTGTGACATGGTTGCTGCAAAGAGGCAGATAAAATGGTTTCGCTATGGGGTCGGGGAGAGTAAACCACTAAAAGCCAATTAAAAGTCTGACCTTCATAGAACTACCAAGTCAGTCAGGGTTTCAAGCACCATAAAAGCGATTCTAAACCATACTTTTAAAAAAAAAGTGTCATTCAAAAGTCCCCAAAGTCTGATGGAGAAGAGGCTGACAGTGAGGGCGACTGGTTACTTCAGTCTCGTCAGAATCAAGGTTTCAAGGGTGGCCTTATGGATAACATGGCACTAGGGGAAAAAACATGAAAAACAATGTGAAGGGCTAATCCAGCAAAGTCTGGGTGGACCGGCTGGCCCAGCCATGAACAGAAAGTCACCGTCTCCCCGATGACCGAACACTCTGAAGTGCTTCTGCTCCCATTGGGCCAGTTTCCACCCACGCGTCTGGGCCCAGATACCTGTTGGGCAGTGCCCTGGGCTTTCTTTTCCAGACCCTCTGACCTCCCTCAATCTTTCCTCCCCCAAAAAAACTGTGTCCTCGGAGCCTCAGCTCCAGGCTACCTGACCCTGCTGTGGAGAAAGCCTGATTCGCCACCCAGGGAGGCCAAGATGCCCCTAACAGGGTCTTCCAGAGCCTTCAGGGAGAAGCAGCTCCCACACAGACAAATCCGAGGGCTGATGTTGTCCCTCCTGTTGGATGCCTTCGAAGCATCTGGACACACCCCTTCCTGCCCTACAGATCTGAGCTCGTTCCCATCTAGAAGACAACAGGAAGCTTTTCCCCTAATGTCTAGGGAGTTCCAGCTCTTTCAGCCATTGCAGCCTTGGTTTCCTTTTAGAACTTTCTCTCTGCTGGTGTGTCTGATGGAGGCCCAATCCTGCTTAGTGTAACAGTGAGATCCCCACAGAAAGGGGTCCAGGTCCCTCGCCCCACCCAAGGAAGGGAGACCCAGAGCAGCGAGGGGAAGAGGGAACAGACTGGCAGAAGAAGAAGAGGGAAGACTTGGAGGGGGCATGTGGAGGAAAGACATGTGAAGACGAACGGTACTTGCTTCTGGGCCTTGGATTTATAACAGCGACTTGGCAGACATGAAAGGAGACACTTAAAAGAGACAGAAACATGGGCGAGAGATCCATGGGGAGGCTGACAATGGCAGCCATTTTCTTGACTTGTGTTTTGATTTTGCTCTTTTTCTTCTGGACTTGCCTGGCCCCTTCTGTTCCTATCCTG